AGTTGACTTCAGCCCCAGTTCTTGCATTACCGATGGAGGGGGGAGAATATGTGGTATACAGTGACGCATCATATCTTGGTTTGGGTTGTGTCTTGATGCAAAATGGAAAGGTGATTGCATATGCTTCCCGACAATTGAGGCCACATGAGTGCAACTACCCAACTCATGATCTAGAGTTGGCAGCTATCGTATTTGCCTTAAATTATGGAGGCATTACCTTTATGGTGAAACGTTCAAAATTATGACCGACCACAAGAGTTTGAAGTATTTAATGGATAAGAAGAAGTTGAATAACCGACAAAGAAGATGGTTGGAGTTGTTGAAGGACTACGACTGCACAATTGATTACCATCCTGGTAAGGCAAATGTGGTCGCCGATGCACTCAGTCGAAAGGGAAGGTTGTTAGAATTTGTGGAAATGAGAGCTTTGGGTGTGGAGTTTCAGGTGGAGGACATCACCACCTTAATTGCACACCTAAGCATCCGACCACTACTCCATGATCAAATTAGAGAAAGTCAACAAGTAGATCCTGAGTGTATCGAGAAGTTGAAGCAAGTTGAAGTGGGGGAAGAAAGTGAATTCATGGTTGAAGAAGGCATACTAAAAAGGCATGGTCGTATGTGGGTTCCAGAGTCGGGTGATTTAAGACGAAGAATTCTGGAGGAAGCCCATTCATCCATGTATGCCATGCACCCGGGGGTCACAAAGATGTATAACACAATTAAAACACATTTTTGGTGGCCGGGAATGAAGCGAGAGGTGGCTGAGCATGTTCAAGCTTGTCTAGTTTGTCAAAAGACTAAGGCGGAGCATCGTGCACCAGGCGGACTCTTGCAGCCGCTGCCAATTCCAGAGTGGAAATTTGAGAGGATCACGATGGATTTTGTGACCGGATTTCCTTCTAACCGAGAAGGAAAAGATGCCATTTGGGTAATTGTGGATCGAATGACTAAAGTGGCTCATTTTATTCCCATTCGATTCAAGCCAAGTATGGAAGAGTTAGCGAGGTTGTACATAACTCACATTGTACGACTTCATGGTGTTCCTCTATCCATTGTCTCAGATCGAGATCCCAGTTTCACATCACACTTCTGGGAGAGCTTGCAGGAGGCGATGGGTACGAGACTTAATTTCTCCACGGCTTATCACCCTCAGACGGACGGGCAGTTTGAACTGACAATACTTACTTTGGAGGAATTATTACGAACCTGTGCAGTGGAAACAGGTGGACCTTGGACGGATTTACTACCGTTGGTGGAGTTTGCCTATAACAACTCTTACCATAGTAGTTTGCAGGCTGCACCATTTGAAGCTTTGTATGGAAGGAAGTGTCGTACCCCGCTATGTTGGGATGTTGAGGGTACGCGGGTTCTTACCGGACCGCAAATGGTCCAAGATACAGAGGAGAAGGTGAAGGTGATCAAAGAGAGATTGCGGGTAGCTCAAGATCGCCAAAAGTTATATGCCGATAAGAAGGCTCGAGAAGTTAGCTATGATGTGGGTGAGAAGGTGTTCTTAAAGGTATCCCCATGGAAAGGATTGATGAGGTTTGGAAGGAAGGGTAAGTTAGCGCCTCGTTACATTGGTCCCTACGATGTTATCTCCAAAGTAGGGCCTGTGGCATATGAACTTGCATTACCCCGTGAGTTGGAGAAAATTCACAACGTATTCCACGTGAGTATGTTGAAAAAGTATCATATCGATCCATCTCATGTGATACAACCCGAAAGGGTGGAGTTGGAGCCAGATTTGACCTATGAAGAAAAACCTGTGAGCATTGTGGATCATCAGGTACGTGTATTAAGAAGCAAACAAATCCCCATGCTTAAGGTTATATGGTGTAATCAGGAGGAGGAGGCTGCAACCTGGGAAACCGAGGAGAGTATGAAGAAGAAGTACCCTGAGCTAGTTGAGGCTTATGCTCAACGTATGTCGACCTAGTACCTCATGTGTTAGATCGATATGAGTAGGGTACATTGTAATATATAACCTCTACTGTAGAGTGAGTGAATAAGTATGAAATAAAAATTTCCCAAGCCATTAGGTACTTAATGGCCAAGGGAAATTATCATGTCGTCATGCTGAGTTAAGCGATGTTTTGGACGAGCTGATTTCGGGGACGAAATCTAATTAAGAGGGGGAGAGTTGTAATATCCCGAACCTCGAATAATTTTTTTTCCAGATGGCGGGCGTATATTATATGATTCGAGACTGGAAAAAAAAATCGAGAAGTTATCCTATACGAGGTAGGATCAACGAAACCACTTAAAAACTCCCCAAACATCAAAAAGTGCAACAAAAATATTGTTTGCTGTAGGGATTGAGCCTCTGACCTTTTGGTCAGTAAGGAAGAGTTCATCAACCTAACCAGTTAGACTATGCTGGTTTCAGTGATACAAAAGGAGCCGAGTCATTAATGAGCTAATGACGTCGGCATGGCACCAGCAGCTTGCTTGTTTATGGAGCCGGCTTTGAAACTTGAGTTTCTTCCTTTCAAAGCTACTGCTCCTTAGAAGGCCGCCTCAGGCCTTTACTCCATCTGCTGGAAAGTGAATGAAGAGGTAAGAGCATGAATCAAAGAGCTCTATTATACCGGTAAGCTAGCTCTCCATTTTTGCCTTCGTACAAACACCAAGAAGAGAAAAGAAAAGAAATAATATGAAACCAAAGCTTAGCATAGTCTCTGTATTCCCAGCAAAGGTTTAGAACCTATACAAACCTGTTTACAAGCCAAAATCGCCAAACCAACTCACCAAATATCCTTTACCGAAACTTTTGCCGTAACTTTTTCGTCAGCCAAACCAGCACCATTAAAGGTAGTATCAGCTACAAAGCTTGATACCGTTGCGAAGAGAAAGTCTCCACGAGCATCACAGAGTTTACGGAATTGAATTCCGAGCTCAGACGAGGGAGAAACAAGGCCGGGAAGTTGGTACGTGAGGTAAGGGAATTTCCAGTTTTCTGCAGATTTTGGACAGCAGAAAATTAAGAATTAATCCCTAATTTCGTACTAATGATGATCAACTCGCAGTTTCTTCGTTTGATGTCCAAACGACGAACCGTTTTCGCCTACAGGACCGTAGAAACAAGGAGAATTTTTAGGATCCAATCTCTGGAATTTTAGAACTTAATTCCCGACTTGGAATCAGCTAAATTAAGGTGTGTGGGGATTAAGAGGACCTTAATTATTGCATCGATTATTTATGCTTGATTTGCATATTTGGATGGATGGATTACAGTGGGTGATAACTTATTTGTTGATATGATGATTTGGTGATTATTCTTGGTTGTTATGAATTGTACGGTGTAAATATCGGTATTTGACAAGTTTCACCATGAAAATGGATAGTTGGGTTTATTGAGTTTAAAACTTATATAAGATATTTTTGTTTGTCTAAAATGATGTTGGGGCAGATTGAGCAGAATATTTCACTTGAAAATGGTTTCTGGATTAAAAACTGCATAACGGTGAATTTTACGAAAAGCTCGGTAAAAACGTGTTTTATTTATCTTTAAGATTTGGATCACTTCAAAATGGTCAGTATGGATTGTTAAATGGGTTGTGGTCTGAAAAGGGTAAATTAGACAGTTGGTGGAGTTTTTTTTTTCTTTAAAACGGTAAAAATGAGCTTAATACGAGATTTGCGATAAATACCGAGTGTAATACTATTTTCATGGTTTTGAGCAGTTGAAAAATATAAAAACTAGACATACCTGTTTTAGGATGATAAATGGAGGTTCTTGTATTTTTGGGAGATTTTTGGATTTACCGTTTTGTTGGAATTTAAGTTACCGTAAAATAATGGTTAATACGAGATTTTTAATACTTTATTGTCTAAATTGTTTTTTATGACCAGAACTAGATTTAATGGATTTTTGTGTCAATAAATTCATTTATATGAATTGTGTGAGGATTTTAATGAAGTGAATTTTGAGTTAAGGATATTTTTAACCGCGACCGGGTTATTTATAATTATTTGCGTTGGCACTATTTCGTGATATTGTTGATGAATTTTGGATGAGGAACGGTGATATGGTACTGCTGAGTGGCTTTACGGGAGAATGAGATGATTTATGTGATTTGGTATTGGATGATGAAATAGTTGATTTTTTTTTGAACGTCGAGTTGATAATCGACGGAAAATATATATATGAACTGGTTAATCCGTAAGATTACATTGATTCTGGATTGATTGTGATGGATGAGAAAAATAGAAATGGTTTGATTCGTGATCATATTAATTCACGTAGATATAGAAAGGGCCTGCACTTACCCTAAACCCTTGAGAGTGGGTAGATTTAGCTCGCTTATGCGATTTAGTGTTGTGGTTGCATGAGCACCACGGATGAGTGTTGTGGTTAAAAACCACGGATGAGTGTTGTGGTTAAAAACCATGGATTGAGTGTTGTGGTTGCATACTTGCATGAGCACCACAGATGATGATTTGCTCGAGCGAGGGTAAGTGTATGTTGACCTTGGCGCCATTAATAATTAACCGGAATTTTCATATCATGCATTGATTATGTGTTCGTGAAATTATGTGATTATCTTATTGGATAAATTGATTTGGTGATGATGAGTTGGTGGATTTGATAATTTGATCGGTGATTTATATATGATGATTTAAGATGGCATCTAGAGAACTAAATTATGATTGATTATGATTGTTTGATTAGCTGATTGCGGTCCCAAAATTAGGTCGTGGGAAAGATCCACACACACAACTTAGTTGCTGACCCACGTCTGTTTTCAGGCTCGCAGGTGCAACTAGGATCGGACTACTGAGGCTGCCCTATCCTTCTGTACTACCATCATGAGGTAGTTTGGAACACTGTTCTGTCATGGTCACCTAGGATTTTTGCTTTGAGTGTTTGAATAATAAACCCACATTTTGTAAAAATTCAATAAGTGGGTTGGGATTCGAATAATGAGTTTGTATGATAACGGTTTATGTTTGTGTTTAATTATCGGATATGATGTTTGAGATGATCGAGTTCAACCAGTAACACCGATGATTTGGCTGCGCGGTTGAACCACGGGTTCAACCATAGAGATTATGGGTGGGGTGTTACAAGTACCATTCGGGATTTCGGCGCAGACGACACTTTTTTAGTTAGGGATAGTAATCGAGACAATTATTCCATATATTTTGATATTGAAAATCAAGTTTTTGAGATTGATAATGATCATTTTTTTCTTTTTCTGAGTAAATTAGAGAGCTCCTTTTCTAGTTATTGGAATTCCCCTTATCTGAATAATGATTCTAGGAGTGACGATGATCATTCTCTATATGATACTAAATGGAATAATTACATCAATAGTTGCATTGACAATTATCTTCGTTCGCAAATCTGCATTGATAGCTATATTTTAACTGATAGTGACAATTATAGTGAAAGTTACATTTATAGTTCGATTTGTAGTGAAAATGAGATTTCCCGTTTAAGAATTAGCACGAATGGTAATGATTTAACTATACGAGAAAGTTCGAACGATCCGCGAGAAAGTTCTAATGATCTCGATGTAACTGAAAAATACAGACATTTATGGATTCAATGCGAAATTTGTTATGGATTAAATTATAAAAAATTTTTTAAGTCAAGACTGAATATTTGTGAACAATGTGGATATCATTTGAAAATGACTAGTTCAGATAGAATTGAACTTTCGATTGATCCAGGTACTTGGAATCCTATGGACGAAGACATGGTATCTCTAGATCCTATTGAATTTCATTCGGAGGAGGAACCTTATAAAGATCGTATTGATTCTTATCAACGAAAGACGGGATTAACCGAAGCTGTTCAAACAGGTACAGGTCAACTAAACGGCATTCCTGTAGCAATTGGAGTTATGGATTTTCAATTTATGGGGGGTAGTATGGGATCGGTCGTAGGCGAGAAAATCACTCGTTTGATCGAGTATGCTGCCAAGAGATCTTTACCTCTTATTCTAGTGTGTGCTTCCGGAGGAGCACGGATGCAAGAAGGAAGTTTGAGCTTGATGCAAATGGCGAAAATATCTCCTGTCCTCCCCTCACCACAAAGCGAGAACTAAATAGCACTCCAGAACAAATAAAAAATGCAGGAGAAGTTGAACCCTTTAGGAGGTTGGAAGAAAGATATACAATCACAAAATTCACCCTTTAGGAGGATGAGGAATTCGGATGATGTGATAGAATTTTGGGAGCTGGAAATTGGCTAGGGGGAGTTCATGTTTGGTAGCTGCCTGCGATCCACTTCTCTCAGCAGAACTTCCTTCCTACTAATTAAGTTGCACTTGTAATTATAGTTTTAAGTAGAAATGATTTTTTAACTATTCCTTAATAGAAAGACGTTGAAGACAGGGTTGTCAAGAAGAAGCTTTCTGATCTTGGAAAAAACTCATGCCATACTATGAAATTGGAACCACTAATCCTATTACTGAACATGTACTTGTGATCAAAACTCATGGCATACTAAGAAATTGGTAACACTAATCCAACTGAACATGTATCTTGAAAAGTAAACAAACATATTGGTTCATAATCAAGCTCACACATAATAAATTGCTAATCTGGAGAACTGCCAAATGACAAAACTTTCTAATGAGATTCGTGAAAGGTCAAGACAATGAGAACTATTCTAGTTCTAGACAATGCAGCAAAATCACCACTAAGCCCACAGCAGAATGAATCTCATCAGAAACCAAAAGACTCACAGAGAATGAGGAACCTACAAAGGACCAAACGTAGACGTGTTATTCCTTAACCTTTGGTAGATCAGGCCTCTTGATAATTTGATGGAAATTCTGGACAGTTTTCAACCTCTTTTTTATTCTTCCGGTCCTGTGAAATTCTTTTAAGCCTGAGAACACAAATATATCTTTCGTTCTATGAGCAGTTACAACTACAGTAGATAATCATCCCAAACACCACCCCATTCTAAAAAGAGTTGTTCCAAATCCCATATATAGATAATAGAACAGCAAATTGTCGAAGCTAAACCAAGGTCTCACTCATCAAACTTACGAAGCAAAAAGAATTAACCTAGAAAGTAAGTAGTGAGGAATCATGAGCGAGCGAGCGAGCAACGCACAAATTGAATATAATCTTAAGTTACTGAGAATACCCACATAAATAAGCCTGTTGCTAACAACAGAATGCAATTGACCGCAATATTGAGAGAAGCAATCATATAGACAGACAGGATGGAAGCGGAAAAGTAGCAGCAAAAGCTTGATAGAGAATCTGAATTCCACCCAGTTGTAGCCGTCAATGGCGGATCTGAGCAAGAGAATCTGGTGAGTAGTTGGTGTATAGTCAGTCAGTCAGTCAGGGTAAGAAAGAAGAGAGGTGGGTTTATGCCATGGCTCTATCATGCCTTGGATTTAGCAGAGAATAGAGTCCATGGCTTCGGTGTTGTTGGGAATAGGAAAAGGGAAGGCTTCAATTTCGCCGGGAAGAACAAATAAATGGTCTTTGCCGGCCGCCAGGGTCCTATGGGATTTCTTTTCTAGGGTTTTGAGGAGACCAGGAAGAAGAAAGATGAGGAACCATCATCCAATGCTTTCGTAGAGAAGATACAGAGCGGGGGAGGGGGGAATCAAATAATAAGAAGAAGAAGGAGAATTACATTATACAAAACGAAGAAAGAAAGCATTAGTCTGCTGCTCAAAGGGCAGCTAGCCTAGTTATATGCTAAAATTTAATTTGCATCACTAAAAATAAGCTAAGGTCGCCATGCCAGGCATGTTTGATTAATTACCTTGGATATGAAATTGCAAGATCGACTAGGTCGGCGCCATCAGCGATCACCCGTCGTAAGAAAAGAAAAGAAAATTTGTCAACATAGCTAAACTAACTGATGACACATGACAAGTTGGTGCATGGAACACTGCTCCAGCTCCGGACACGATGAGGTAACCAAAACGCTTCGATCTACGTAGTCGTATATGTACAGGTTGCTGTCACGAGGGTATACCAGGTAAATGGCGTTTCTTTTGAATCCGAATTTGCTAGCGCAGCATCCAAATCCCCCCGACCCAGTGAATTGAAACGCCCCGGACGACCAGGCGAAAAAGAATGCCCTGTCTCCAAGATCCTCTACCTCTTCCATTCGCATCTTCTTGACATCGATCTTGAACACCCTTACATCCAGGATAACGTGTGCATTCCGATTCGTATGGAAATCCCCGGCGAAATCCTGGTGAAAAAATAGAAGCTCGCCGCGGGATTCAACCAGATAACGCTTAATGTCGCCACACCCCTTGGGCGAACGTTGCATAACTTGAATCTGTTGGATCACTTTGACCCCATAATTTGGCCGCAGCTTGATCTCCAGAAATCGGAGTTTGCTTCCTGGTGGTGTTCCAATCCCGTAAATCCTGCCTCGGTAGGAAGCAGCTACAAACACTTGACTTCCTCCCTCGCTAATTGCCCACTCCTTATCACCAACTCCGCACAACATTGCCACACCCTCGCCGGCAGCTTCCCCAAAGATCACGACCATGAATTCGGAACAGTCGGCGGGCATGTGGAGCAAACAACATCGATAGATGAAGTTCTCACGCTTTTCCCACGTCGGCAGCGAGTCGAAAGCCATAGACTTTGTGTTGAACAGAACACAATCTCGCGCCTCGAGATCCATCAGCAGCACCCGCCCATAACCATGGCCATACACTCTTTTCCCTCTCAATCTTTCTTCCATACTACTAGTCTCCTTTGAATGGTACACGCCGGTGGCCAAATCCACGAATGTGATCTTTTCTTCTGCTTTCTCTCCGTGAGACATAACAATCCACGGTCGCTCCGTCTCTGCCTCTGCTGCTTCTTGTTCCACCAAACCTTCTTCTTCAGTGATTTCTTCTTCTTCTTCAAGTGACGGTGCATCGGGGTTCGGTAGCGACCAGTCAAGCTGGCGGTCAGAAAGGTAGGGGAAGTTGGGAATCCAAGTGCAATTTAGCGGAATGTTTGTGCCAAGCAAGTCATGTGAAGCATACTTATTATTGCCCATCAAGTGGAACTTGGCGGTTGAGAGGGAGTAGAACACATTGTGCATTTCATGGAATCTTGCAAAATGAATGGTGTTGTCCAACCAGGGGACTCCTAGCTCCTTGCACGACATGGTTATACTTGACGGGGAGCTCAAGAAAACCACTTGACCTTTCAGGTGAGGAATACACTGCCACACCTTGAGATTCTCGTTAAACTTGAGAACCCTAATCGATTCACCCCTCGATCCAACCACAACGGCGATCAAATGTTCTCCCCCTCCGACGAGGTAGCTCTTGCTGTGATCGTCGGCCGAGAAAGCCCAATGTTTGGTGTGGAGCAGAGTCCACGACATAGAAAGCTCTTCCTTGTCCTTCTTTTGCTTCTTGATTGGTGGTTTGAGAACTCCTAATCTTCCGTATTGGTCAAGGCAATAGAAAGCTCCCCTGTAGAAAACAGGGGCTGAAACAGAGCTAGCCCACTCAAAATCCTCCTGGCAAGGGATGGGTCTCGACCACTTGCATCGATTATTGGTCCGGAGTTTGAACCGGCCTATTCTGTCACTACCACCATTGCGATTATCACTTGTAGGAGCGACTAACAATGAACGTTTCTTGCGGTACAAGTAGTTGCTCTGTCTCGGCACCATCGTCTTGTTAGGGAATTCTTGGTATGTCCAACGGGTTTCCCCCCGTCGGATGAAAGCGGTGGAAACAGAGCAGGAACCGAGGTACATTTCGGTGAGCGCAAAGACAACACAATCCGGAGAAGTAGGCTGCGCCGAGAAGCTCAACCGGTTGCACTGCCAGCAACAACCGGGCAAGTAGATGGTGTTTCCGGTGGAGGGATGGAAGAAGAAGAACAAGTCCTCTTTCGACAAGAGCAACCAGCCATAGTTGGAGCAGTGAATGAACGCGTCATCGAGGTCCGACGGGGCGTCGGCCGAGTACCACTCGTTGGCGAGCGGAGAGTAGAGCTGGTAGAGGGAGGATGGCTCGTCGGCCGGGCTCTTACAGAACCGCAACATGAAGGGGTATTTGGAAGCAGCAGCAGCAGCCTCCATTCGCTGCTTTGTAATTTTGGGGACTCGGCGGATTGGCGCCGCGGAAGCCATCTTTGATAGAATTTTTGTTATCATCTTGTTGCGGTGCTTGTCTTGTTGCTGTGTTACTATATATATATAGTAGAAGTTGCTCCTTTTCTTTCATGTATGTATAGGGAATCCTTATCTGCAGAGGAGACTGGTTTTCCTTTCTTTATGGCTTCGGGAATTCGTGGGAGGGGAGGTCATTATCTATTTTACTTTATTAAATTTTTTCCATTAATTTATTATATCATGTCACTTAAGTTTGTTGACTCATTTATGGTTTAATCGACAGATGGGATCAAAATGAAATAATAATTATGTTAAAAATATAAATACTTAAGGTTTTGTAAAATTTGGGACAAAGCAAATAAGTAATCCATTCGAATAAAAAACATAATATCTAACTCTTTATTTCTAATTATGTTTATGGTTTAGAGAAAACCGATAACCAAAATTAAACCGAACCGGGTAATAAGAAAGGAAAATCATTAAGGAGTCGTTTGGAGAACAGGATTTAGGATATGGATTCACTGAATCCGTAGATTTTGTAGAAAATTATGTTTTTTTGTTACTTTTTGTATTGTGGATTCTAACTTTAGAGATTTCAAATCTCTAAAATCTGCGGATATCAAATCTCTCATAATCAGAGAGATTCTATATCTTGATTCGTGAGATTTTTTTTCTCCTGAGTTTTCTCTTTCTTTTATTTATTTATAACATGAGATATATTTATCAACACAGTTTTTAATATTTCTTGGACCACTCTAGTTTTTTTATTAAGGATAAACATATTATTTAATATAAATTATTTTTTTTATTTTAATTGAATGTTAACAATCACAGTTACCAAACAATAAACATTTTAAAATCTGTTTTCAACAATCCGAAGAGTTAGAATCTTTAGATTGTTGACAATCTGTAGATTTAAACTCATATTCTCCAAACGACCCCTAAATTGACATAAAAAAGCGAATAGTTAATAACTATCTAACCTGTTCGGCCAACCAGAAAAACGAAAAACGATTGGTCAGCCCTCCGGACCGTTTGAGTTCGACCTTTCGCCTCCTTGCCTCTCAGCGCCTTGAAACTCCATTGGTTTGTGCCCGAACTCTCGGTGACCGTCCAGTTATTATCCTCATGCGACAATTCTGCTTTCTTTGCATTCAAAGCTTCGCTGATCTCATCCCATGGGCTCTTCGTTGCTTCTCTTTTTTCTAGCAAGTATTAACAATGGAAAGTGAGATGATATTCGTGGATGATAAATGAGATTGTTGTGTTAGCAAAGAACCAAATTAGCAATCAGTACCTTGACTAGATGTGTGATTTTTTGCGCCATTTTCTGCTGTACCTTGAACTTCATTTGGAGAGGCTTCATTGACAAGATTGGACTTTACTGACCCAGCACTGCTAGGGTTCACAGCACGGACTTCCAGAAGTGAAGTAAAATCCATCTGGAGAGGTAAAGCTTTAACAGTTAATTCGTCTGATAGTAGAAGAGGGGAAGTAGAAAATTGTTGTTCTGTGAGTTGTTTTACTGATGACCTCTAGAGAGCCATCTTCTTGTAAAGAACAAGTTTCTGGAAGCACCTCGGATTCTTCATCATCTAGTTTGTTCTCGGGGATCAAAGGATACTTCGGAACTGCAACCAGCTTGATATTATTGGTTTGAGGGTCGAACTTTGATATCTTCCCTACCTACAGATGACATAAAAGGAAACTCATTCTACGCTCTTCAAGAGAATATTGTGGAAGAAATACAAGTGAAGAAAGAACAGTACTAAGTATGGTGAGAGCTCAGGTGTCCATGATGACGATAGCTGAATGAGACGATAAGCAATAACGTCCCTTTCCTGCAATATTTGTCAGAACCTGCTTGACTCTTCAGTCCATACCAAATAAGACTGAAACAGAGGTCAAAATAATTAAGCATAAGAACAAACTTAACCTTGGGTGAATTCGTATAAGCTGCAAGCTTATCGAAGTCGATCTGATTATAAACAGAAGTTGGTTCTTCCACTGGTTGTGTTTCAGAAGGTTTCTGGCCAGAATTGGCATAGTGATTCCATGTTTCAGATGGTTTGTGGCTGGAATTTGTGTTATCCTTCCATCTTTCAGAAGGTTTATGACTGGAATTTCCATTATCATTCCATTTCCATGATGCACTTTTCTGTGATCCCCATTTTTTACCTTTCTTTTTGCTCATCCCATCCACTGAGAAGTTTACTGAAACAGCATCCAGAAAAGAGAAAACATAAGAGTTCAGCATCCAAAGCTGAAGACTTTAATTAACACGGAAATTATTACACTATACAATTGACAATCCCCAGAATGAAACCTACCAGCAGGGTTTGATTTTGTTGGACAGGCTGATCAGCACTACCTGGAACAATAACCGTGTTAAGAAATAAAGGTGAAGTACTGAAAGCAATAATACAGTGGCTGATATTATAGACTCATATCTTTGCTTGCTTGAATACAACAAACCATGAAAACCCCCACTAGCAGAAAAGAGTCAAAAAACTCTTTTGCCAAAAGCACAATCCTCAGGTCTAAGTTCTATTCACACCCAAAACCTCAGCTCCTCCACATTGCTTCGCATTCATAAGATCCTAACCATCCTAATTCGACATAATTTGACCTTGATCTTCTCCATTATAACGAATTCTCGCTTAAAACACAGCTAAAGCACAGAGAATTTCCAAATGCTCCATAGCCTAACCCATTCAACTTCAACCCTCTACCCCTATACCATATTCTCGAATCCCTTTCCACCATCCCAACCATTTCCAACACCTAAATTGCAGTTCTCGCGAGTGACAATTCACCATCTCCCTCAGACAAAAAAAACTAAGGAAAAATGATGTTAAGAATCCAGACAAGTGTTCAATTTAAACTCACCTGATCTTTTTCTGGAGGATGCCCTGGAGCTTGCGGGCGAGATCCTCGGATTTAACACGGTCCATCAGGTTCTTGTGAGCCAAAACTCGCTTCTCCGAGTTCTTCAGGTGAGTCATCTGCGCCCGCTTGATCAGCCGTTCCATCCCGCTCGATTGCATCTTCCGCTGCAACACGGTGAGAGCCCTCTCGACGTTCCCGTCGTACACCGTCACCCGTATCCACCGCTCGATTGCGACGGACGCGCTGCTCCGTATCCAGTTCATCATTTTTCTTCCCCGGCCGTCTTTCTCTCAATTTCTAGGGATTTCTTCCTTCAGTTTTCAGGGTTCGCGCGACATTAATTCGTCTCTGGTTTTAATTTAATTACTGAAAAGGTCACTGAACTTTGGATATAGCTTTAAATAAGGCATCCAACCTTGAGATGGCTACAGTTTAGTCATTATATTAAATGAATTGCATTTTTCGACAAATTATATATCTATGGGTTTTCAATTTCATCCTATTGCGTGATATTTCATAACAGAACTTTTATTTATTTTTCAATTATACGCAATATACTGGATTATAGGTTGATAAATATGCTCAATATACATTTACATTCACATTAGGGAATACAAATATTATAGACAATATGGAGTATGGGTAGGGCTGGGAAAATAGACCAGACCGTTAGAAAAAACGTGGTCCAAACCGTACCGCACAGTTTGGTCCGGACCGTAGACCGTTAAGTATGGTCTGGTCTGGTCCATGGTTTGTATTATTTTATGTTTTGATCTCTTGGTCTGGTCTAGACCGCGGTTTACCGGACCAAACCGTGGACCCAACTGACTTGTCAATACGTGTTAACAGCCCATTCGACCACTCTCCCAACTCCCACAACTGAAAGATTTGTAGAACGCAAAACACAAACACACGAGACGGTATTTACGTGGTTCTTCTCATTCGGTGTGAATGAGCTTACTCCACGGAGAAATTGTGCTATCTCAGCTTATTCATTCTTAGTTGCAGCCGATACACTTACAGAATATATATATATAACCCTAATCAACTAGTTTCCTAGGGCTACATAAGACGTGCGGCTAAAGAGGGGAAAAGACAATAAAATCCCTAAAGCCAAACACGGCTGCGTACTAAGAATAGGATAGGTATAACTATCCTTTTAACAACGACACCCAAATCTCAACCTTAGTTTTGTGAATCTCGTCCCTCCTTCATTCACAACCACATTAAACCAGAGAGTAGAGATAATCGTGTCTCCATATGACATTATGTTAATGTTTACGACGTTATGGTGCAAGTTGTGATGCATTTACTTTGAATCTTTGTTATGTAGTAAGATTTAGAGTATCAAAATTATGCATGCATGTTAGGATTAATGTTTTTTAAGGCAAATAATAATTATTTTTCTTGGTTTTTGGTTCAATTTTTTGTGTGGTTGACTAAACAAATTATTCATTTTTCGTTGAGTGTGGTCTATCTGGACCATACCAGACCGAACCAGACCGCACAGGCGTGGTCTGGACCGGACCGTATAGTCTGTGGTCTGGTCAGTGGTCTATACTTTAGCCTCTCAGTCTGGACCATAAACCGTATATATGGTCTGGTCTGGACCAGACAGCACCTTTCCCAGCCCTAAGTATGGGCTTATGTCACCTAACCACTGGTTGTCGGCGACATTCAAAAGCAGTTGATCGGATTATCGGTCGAAGAGAATGAGCAACAAGGAGAAGCAAATTTATAATTTTTAATAGGAACTTAAGATTTCAAATTAAGAAAAGGAGTAAAGGACGACATATCAATGATAATTTGAGATGGATTCGTTTTAGAGAAGGTAGTTGCCTTATTTTTTTTCCCTTGGTTTGGTGATGACCGAAAGAAAACAAACGCTAAAGTTTAGTGTCTAATTACCATGGTGGTGGAAGTGGATAGTTACCAAATCACATCGCACCATATCCATAATTACAGAATTGGACCCCAACTTCGTTGGGTTAACACTCAACAACTTCACATGGACTGTGATCTCAGACTCGGCGAGAGAGAACTGGAACAAAAATCTGGAAGGAAGCGAAGAGACGACGGTCGGAGAAAATTCCCTTAAATTCCCGATTCCCCTCTTCTTTTTTCTCCGGCGGACGTCATGGAATTAGTAGCAGTAGAAAGTTAGGCTGTGGAACTGGAAAGAGCTGGCGTCTTACAGTCCGAAGCGAGTCATGGCGGAGCTGAGGCACTCGAGCTCGCTCAGTGCAAGAGCTACAACTACTTCGTCTCCGATGAAGCGCGACGAGAAAGACGTTTCCCCTCTACTCCTCCACCACGATAAACCCCCTGCCGCCGTCAACGACGACAACGATGACGACGGTTGCCGTCACCATTTCGCCAGGGATCGCGACCGTCCGTTCTAGTCCAATATTGTCTCGTTCCTAAGCGAAGACCCTAGGTATTCGTCTCAGAACTCCAGGATTTCCATGATTCTGATCGGCGTCATCGCTTTCGGCGGATTGATCTCCATTTTCTCAATCTTTCACCGATTGGTATGATGTATTTTGGTTGAATCCATGTTCATTGCTCAGTTAGATGGTTGTTGGTTTTTGCTGATGGTTATTGGGAATTCTTCATATTCTTTTGCAGAATGCTCCTTACTTGTGTAAAAAGGATGGCATTGCGCTCCATTGTCCACATGTAAGCTGCATTGTTCAGAGGATGATACTTTTGGGAATTGTCTGTTACATGGTCTTGGATTTGTATTGAATTTCAGTTCATGACTTCTTTTTTCAGGTCAAGGAGCCTTCTTCCCTCTGGGAAAATCCATTTATCTGCAATAACTTTTTGGAAGCCTTGCGCTGAGCGTCGCGATGGTGGAATTTCAGGTGATTTGTGTTTCTTCTAACTGTGTTTCTGGGTTTATTAGATTGTTCTTATTGGATAAGATGAGGTATGTCATCAAGTTAGGATCTTTGGTGCAAAATTCTTGTTATTGGGGAAAGAAAGATTTTGTTGTTGTGCCATGTATGTTATATAGGACAGCTCTAGGATCTAATATGTTACTTGTTTGTCATCGAAAGAGCTGGTAGCTGAATGATTGTGCAATTTCTGTAACTTGTTTAGTATTCCGTATGTGAAAATGTTGATGGGTTTGTGCTAACTATTGTCAGATGTCTATTGATTGGCCTTTTGGGGGTGTTGGATCCTTGGTAGTTTCTTTTTCTATTTGTTGACTTCGGTACTCCACTTCTCTTTGCAGATGTTCCTCGTGAGAATGAAACAAATGATTATATCTTCATCCATGCTGAGGGGGGCTTGAACCGGCAAAGAATCGCTGTACAATTCTACTCCTTGAAATAAATAATTATGCGACTTCTTAATTTCTAGATAACATGAACTTGATACTTGCTAATTTTTTATTTGTCAATACCTTTTCAAAAACCGTTATCTTTTCTTGAGGAAATTTGTGTTATCATTTCAGCCGTGTTCTTTCTCCATTAAGATCTTACTTTTATTTTTTATGTCCCTTCATGTTAGACCAAGCTGATTTCAGATTGTTCATGTATTTGCATGATGCTTCAATGCACGTGAGCTTGTGAGATACCGTCTTTGGTAGTCAAACTGGTTGGTTTAGTAACTATGATTTAGAATGCAGTTCCTTTGATGAGTTTGAAAACCTATGATGATTATTATATCCAGCAGCTTCAGAATGGCTAAATTCAACATTGATATTGTTCGCTGCAGATATGCAATGCAGTGGCTGTAGCAAAAATAATGAACGCCACTCCGATTTTGCCTGTCTTGAAGCAGGACCAGATTTGGAAAGACCAGACGTAATTTTTGAGGACCATATTCTCATGCATTTTTTTGATCAAATGGATGCAGTCGCACCCTACCTTTCATTCAAAACCACCCGGTACTTAGAGAGCCCCTGAACATCGTACATAAGCCAGTTACAAAGCATAGGATCGACAACAGAAAACAAATGTGACCCTAGGGGTGCTAAATTCCCCCGAATAGCAAGAAAGTCTGCACACTTATTACCCTCCCTATAGATGTGGGTGATAGAGACGTCCCACTCTTTTTGAAGCAGCTCTTGAGCTCTATCCAAAATGGCTGCATGGTGATGCTCCCCAGATTCAGTACTCTGTAGCAGCTGGCAAGCACATATAGAGTCCAACTCCAGCCTAACGTGGCGAAACCCAACATCCCAAGCTAACTGCAGTCCTTATACAGCGCCCCTCAACTATGCCTGGGTGATAGAGCAAACACCCAGGTTCATCTCTTATCAGGCCACCAGCTGCGGCGTGACCTGTGTCAGTATGAACGGAGCCTTCCGTGTTGAGGGCAATCCACTTTGGAGGTGGCGGCTTCCACGAGATATCCACCTCCGTTCTTGCGGGCGGATTAGGCTGATGGACGAGCCTATCCTTGTCCAAGCCTACCTCACGACAGTTATCCAAACTTGGACTCACTATAGAAAGGCTTCAGTCGTAACGATCTTGCCTGAGAAGACTCGATCATTTCTGGTCTTCCAGAGAGACCAGCAGGTAAGCCCGAACTCTAGGCCAGTGTCCATATTCTCATGCATGGAATGTGCCCAAATAAATGATTTTGATACTCTTATCAAATACGCGACCTCTTCTCATACCAATCATTCCAAAATGCTGAATTGTAAGATTGGTGATCCTTATAACATAGTCTCCTCAAACTATCTGCAGGAAATTCGAAAATATTTTTGACGTTGATCATTTCATTGATTATCTGAAGGATGACGTTAGAATTGTTCGTGATATACCTGAGTGGTTTACTGAAAAAAATGAGTTGTTCACAAGCATACGGTATGTGATAATTGAGGAATGCCTACTATGTTGAATGACTAGATTGATGAATTTGGGACTAATAAATGTGGCTTTTCATTTATAGGCGGACAATGAAGAATATTCCAAACTATGCACCAACCCAGTTCTACATTGACAATGTGTTGCCTCGGATCAAGGAGAAGAAAATAATGTCACTTAAGCCATTTGTTGATCGACTTGGGTAAGCAATAATTAATTTCCACGTCAAACTGCTCTTATAGAACCCTCTCCTTAAATTCAACTCTAATTTGGGTGCTTTGACATCTTTCTCCTTGCTTCTAGGTACGACAACGTGCCTCAAGAAATCAACAAGTTGAGGTGCAGGGTTAATTATCATGCATTGAAATTCCTCCCACATATAGAGCAGATGCCTGACCTCTTAGTTTCACGGATGAGGAACCGCACAGGAAGTCCAAATCATTATATGTAGGTCAATGCTGGTTTCTTATACGTTTATTGAAGTGAACTCTGGTAGAAAATTTGCATCTGTCTAATCAAAATTTATGTGCTTTTGATTTGCTTGTAAAACACAGGGCTCTCCATCTTAGATTTGAGAAAGGGATGGTTGGTTTGTCCTTCTGTCATTTCGTGAGGACGAGAGATGAGAAAGTTAAGATGGCTGAGTATAGAAGAAAGAATGGCCTAGGCATTTTAAGGTGCGTTGTAATCGTTCTCCACCATCTGTCCCATTTTTTTTTTTTTGGGAAACCCTGGAAGATCATCGAATTATAATCAATGGTTGCATATTGCAGAATGGTTCCCATTTATGGCAACTGGCTCTTCAGACGAGAAAGGAAGGAAGGTGCCCTCTTGAACCAGGTGAAGTTGTATTGATACTTTGGGCAATGGGTTATCCCAAGGAAAATCAAATATACGTGGCTTCTGGGCAGGTCTACGGTGGTCAAAACTGAATGGCTCCACTGAGAAACATGTTCCCAAATCTGGTAAGCCTTGCCCTTATCATCTCTCAGGAACCCTAAAACCAAATTCATTAAGTTACTAGGGACCCTATGCTATGATTATGAGAATACATGATTTTTGGTAACTTGTAGTTTCTCTTATCTGAATCTGGTAGGAAACAATGTGTTTCAGTCAGGTTTTTTTGCGTTCAACAATACATGCAATTGTGGGTGATCCACCTTTACAATCCCTACAGAACAAACAATTTATTTTGACATCCCAACATATATTCTTGCAATCTATCTACAATAATATCATAATACATGGTTTCTGAACGTTGATATATTCCATAACACAGCTACACAAATGACCCCTAACTTTTGTGTTTGCTCACTCATCAGGTAACAAAGGAGGAGCTAGCTACTAGTAACGAGTTGACCAGTTTCAGGAAGCACGTAACGAGCTTGGCATCACTCGACTTCCTGGTGTGCTTGAAGTCGAATGTCTTTGTCATGACCCACAAAGGAAACTTCGCGAAACTGATCATCGGAGCACATAGGTACATGGGCCACCATTAGAAGTCCATAAAACTAGACAAGGGGCTCATGTCAAAATCCTTTGGGGATCCATACATGGGGTGGGCGACGTTTGTGGAGGACGTGGTGGTGACTCATCAAACGAGAGTTGGGTTGCCGGAGGAGACGTTCCCCAACTATGATCTTTGGGAGAATCCTCTGAATCCATGCATGTGTAAAGCTTAGACAACATATTATTCCTTCCCGAAAGCCTGATTTTGCTTGAAAGGTTGAAGGCCGTGAGCGATTGAACACGAGAGAGTAAGTGCATATAAGAAGACGAGGAGATGAAGGAGACTGCATCATCTCCATCTATTGTAAGTTCATTTGGTCTCAGTTGCTGTGCCTCCTAGTAGTATTCTCTGACAGGCGCCTATTCTCTTACAGGTAGGGCGCCTCTAGTGTAAGGTCGAGCCAAGAAATTGGATGGATTTAACAAAGTTGATGAAACATAATGTATCCAAAAACCAAACAAGACTAGAGACAGATATAACATATTTTTACCTTCAATTTCATGTACTAACCTATCACACTGTAAATTACAGATTTCCCAACTTTCCCCATCTCCAATATGAACTTCAGTTTCCTCATGTTAGTACTAATCACTTCCATACTATGTTATGATCAAGAGACACAGTTGAAGGATTTAATTACAAAATCATAACGATTTGGTATATGGTACACTTCAACTAATGTATTTAATTTAACTTGACGTGGTAGGAAGGACATATCTGTTTACAGCAAGTAGTTATATCAGTTGGGTTGGCAGAAGAAAAGAAAGAGCAATACGCTACGTGGACAAAAACTAACGAGGTTTATCCTCAGCACAACCCAACAAAATGAGATGCGGAAACTTAGCAAAATCCATTAAAAGTATAATAGCTCAAAACAACTATCACTGTACATCTAGACTGTTTTTACTATTCATATAGACTCAAATTTCCTATTCACTGTGTTCTGATTGGTTGTTGGGCTGTGGTGGGTCCTTTGTGTCCTCCTGCCGTCATTTGTGGTGTGTTCTTCGTTGCTTTTGTTAGGAGTGATCTGAAGCACGTTGGGTGAAAAATCCCGTTGGTCACAAGGATGTTTTTTGTGGAGCAGATGATTTTTGGATGCTGGAGGGATGCTCTGGTTATGGGGATTTCAGTCATTGTGTTGTCCCATCGATGACTTTTAGTGGGACGCATTTCACCTTGCAGAGGGAAGAGAGGGAGCGTATTAGCGAAGAGGGAGGTCTGGTCATGATTGTTTTCGCTGCAGAGATGGGGAGAGGGACTGAAGGTTGGTCGAGTAGCGCTGAAAGGCTAGGGTTTCAGACTCTGACATGGGAGTTTGATGGATACTGTATGCATCCAATTTTTTTATTTTGATTTTCCTTTTTGTTTACCGAATACCTAGGTCAACATTTCTATGAAAATAATTATGAGTTTTGAGTTTTTTCACATCTGCACATAAACTTTCTACAAAACTTAGGCTATCCAATCCACATAAGTCATAGAACCTTTCCTTTCCTTGAAGATTTTCACTCATGATCATCTCGCTCATTCTTATCACCCGACAATTTTTCTATAACATCCTTTTAAGTTTTAATCTACAATCTCAATCTAGTTTTCCTCGAAATTTCTAATATGCTACATCAGTTGGATTTCCACTCGCTAACTTACTATCGTTATAACTATAGACCGTAAGATTAGACAACATAAGTTTCATAGATTAACCGGAGTATAAGTATATTTTTCTTTGAATCATCATTAAGATGAATGTACCTTCCACTGTTTACTGAAAATTGAGATGCATGTTTTCTCTCTATTTTTTTCATGACTATACTTGACATTTTTTTTTATAAAAACTATCTATGTGCTTTTAGAGTATTTGTTACTTTTTTCTATTACAATATTTGTTACTTTAATAACCGGATTATACATTATATAAAACATGAAAGCTGGGTACGCTTTTCCTCCCTACTTTCTTAACACTCTTTCACTCCTTAATGTTTTGTGAGCAAAACATGAAAGCTGGGTACGCTTTTCCTCCCTAATTTCTTAACATTGTTTCACTCCTTAACGTTTTGTGAGCAACGAGAAAAAGGCTTCTAGTATACAGCTTCCCACGCAATAGTACCTTCCCTGTTTCGCAGTAGTCGACCATGCCTTCCTTTGCGACATTACCCCGAAATTCGCAAGCCTTTATTTTTATGTCACCAGAAGCCATTCCCTTGCCCAACAGCGTATGTCCACTGTCAAAGAATAGAAAAGCCTCTGCCACATTGCATCATCAATTAGAGGGCCATGCTTTTCGTATCTCCGTCTCGCCCCGAAAATCCGCAATCGCCACGCTTCACTCATCTCCCATCCTCTGCTGGTTTGCTTCTCAATGTTGCAACCTCTGCATAACCTACTCCAACACGCCTCCTCCCATGATTTTTCTATATTACTTACTCTTTGAGTGTGGACTTCTCTCCATCGATTTTTCTTTTTTCGTCTACAACTTCAATTCAGTTCTTCATCTCTCCCTTCTTGGCTTTAATCAATCCCATACCCCAATCACTTTTATCCTTCCTCAATCTTCTGAACTCCATAGAGAGTGAGAATCCACCATTTACGCCAGGGAGGAGCAACTGCGACGGGGTTCTCTTTGATGTCTTCTTCTTGGAGCTTCGACTCCAACACATTCCTACAAATATGAAAGCAGCGCCACAATTGTGGAATCTACTTCCGGCTGGACCACTTTCTCCGGATTATGTAAGTTCCATTTGATTCTTCTGCAATTTCTCAAATTTGCTTCCTGTCTTTAGTTAAGACCTTATTTTGTCCATTGCGAGATGAGGAGGAACAGGCTGTGCAGAATAATGGGAGGGGCAGAGAAAGTTGAAATCGAGCATGGGAATCAATCCCTTTCAAATAGAGTTGATCAGGTTGGAAGGCAATCATGGATTTCATCAGTGGAGGTGACCCCAAAGGCTGGGATGATCCATGGGCTTAGGTATAGCTTATACAGTAATTACACAGCTATTATTGAATTGCTTTGATTATTCTTTTGGCCGCTCTTTAGATTGACAATATGTTAAGTTCTTTTCTCATCTTTATGATATTTGTTAGTATAATGAACACAAGTTTGTGGCAAATGCTGAACACTGTAAAAAGATATGGGCAAAAGAGGCCATAGTGTGGGTTGAACAGCAGTGAAGTAACCACCAGCATTTGTTTACATTGTCGAAACTCGAAACTGGAATGAATTACCTATTGGAGGGCTCCTAATGAATTGCTTTGACTTTGCTATGCTTTTCTGAAACATAGATACCATATTATGACATTGCCACCATCATATGTTAAACTTCCTTACTAACAAAAAAACTTCATTAGGAGAAGACTTGGAGAATGCTGCAACAGCTTAGCAATAGAAGAAGAAAGATCAAGGCTGAGTGACTTAGAGTGAGAGAGGGAGAACAAGTGCTGGAGGGAGAAGGTGGTGAAGCACAAGACTTGGTAGAGGAGGAGAAAGATGCGCAAAAAGCCACCGCCATTTTCTTGGTTCCTCGCTTGAGCTTCGAAAACCCGGTACTTCCTTTTTCCGACGCTACTTCTACTTCTGCTGCTGTTTCTGTTTCTCTAGAATGAATGAAATGAAATGCAGAGGAAGAAGGAGAGGTGGAAGAAGGAATAAAAATTGTTTTATGTGAAGACCAATCGTGGTTAGACAAGTTTTCTAATCCACTAAAATATTATGGATCTTAAGGTTGGGTTTTCACGTTCTGTTTCCAGGTACATATTTCTATTTGGTGATTTGCTTTGTCCCATTTCTGAATATATAAGAACAAGTTCCAAATAAATTACTTCATGTGTTGGTTGCGTTGTTTGGTGTATGATGGGTTTTGCTTGGTGTCATCACAAGAGCTCAGTATTCTTTCCTATGCAATTCTGAATATGATTCTAGGGATTCAAATGGTTTTTCCTGGTTTGAGCAAGAGCTTAAGATTTTAATTAAGGAGACTGGTCACCTTTTGGAAATTGCAGATGTAGGTGCTTCTGAAGATGGCCATAAAGGTCCAAAGCATAGTCGTTACATGTATCGAGAGATTAAGAGATCGTTTGGCTCATTGCAACCGCTACAAGTAGAATAATATGGGTCTTTTATGTACCTCTTGAACCACCTCCAAGATATGTAGGACTTCTTTATCAGGTTATGATCGAACTGCTTTTACAAATGTACACATTTCCATAACCAAAATAAATCTCAGGGGGTATCAGATTGTAAATTGAAATGTTGAATCTTTTTATTCACATACTCTTTTATTTTGCTATGATAAAGTTTGGTTGTTTTAGATCTTGGTGTGTATTACGTTGAGAGGGCCCTATCCTTTCGTTTCTCTTAGATCTTCAGTAGCCAATGGTTCAAAATCAGTAGACTTTGTACACTTCCACACAACCTGACATGCAACATGGGAAGCCATGAATGTTATGCTGGTAAACCACCTTCTGTGGATAGCAGATAACACACAAAATATGCTTTGCACTTCCTTTGCTTGAAGGGAATATATGAACAACCATTCAGAGTTTTGATTTTTGTCTTCTCTAAACAGGTTGGTTGGGTGTTGGTAGTAGATAATTTTATTCATAATCCATTTCTGCAAGTTAGGGGATGGTCATTCATCAATTGTTGCTTTATACTCAAAATCCTTTTCTTGCATGCTTCTTTTGTTTCAGTGCTACTGCACTTTCTTTCAACTGCTGCTGTAATTTTTTTCTGTTGCTGCACTTTGTTTTCCCTGCTACCGTAATTCTGCTTCTTCTTCTGCACTTTTTGATGTTGCTGTAATTATGTTGTTGTTCTGTTATAATTTTATTGTTGTTGTCTGTTAGTTGTTGTCGCGGTTATGTTGGTTGCACTTCCTCGCCAACTAACTTTCTCTCATGCCCAACTTGAAGCTTCTCATAGTTCTCTCATTAGTAACAACCTCAACTTTTGTTTCTACAGGACAACATAGATGCACAAAGCACCTACTT